TATGTTTAATGTATGTACCAAATTTGAACGAAATTCGTCCATGCATAACTGAGATCCGGGTCCGGGAATGGTGAAAATGTGCCATTTTGATGCATTTCGGCTTTAAAATGGCCGCTATTCGGCTATCGTTAATCGGATCATGAAAAAAATGCATGTCCCATATGTCCCATATAATGTGTGATGTATGAGTGAAGTTTGAACATAATCGGTCCATGCATGTTCGAGATACAGGTGATCACGGACGCACGGACGGACGCACACAGGGCAAAACATAAGTCCCCGTTTTCGGACTCCGTCCGAACGGGGACTAATTAGCAGTGTGTAAGGGCTGTGTAATTTCCTGTTTGTCCGACGCTTTGTTTTCGTGTCACTGTCGAAATTATTGCTACCTTTTACTTAACAGGGACTAAATGGTCTCTATAAAACGATAATCAGGATCGCAAAAAAGTCAACTCATTTGAAACACTTTCTTGAAACACTCTTCTGAAATCCGCCTCGGTGATCATGGTCCGGAATCTATTTCTTTCAAAAGTGTTGCGCCAGGTTTATGTTGTCGGCGTTTCTCTTTAAACCTAGTTGTTGTTTTTTTTCATGAACGAGGACAGTTTTTCCAAAAAATGAATCTGAGGTTAAGTGGCTTTCGTCCACTGTTGTCGCACCTTTGGATCGATTAGAAACGTGTGAATACTTACACTATGACTATACGTTTCACTGCAACTGCTCACAACACAACATCTAAAAACTCTCTCTCTCAAAAAAAAAAAGAAAATAAACAAAAAAAGAAAGAAAAAAACGCCGACTGAAAAATGTATATCGTTTAAATGTATACTGAATGACTAGTGTTATTACGGCTCAGGGGTATGACTTCCTCTCACATTTTGGCATTTGGTGGCGCACTTTCGGCGAGAGTCGGAAATCCGGAAACAGTCGACCGTTTCAGGATAGGTGGGCGTGGCTACAACATGAGAAATATCGAAAATTTTCTTGGATACGAGTAATCATTTTCAGCAAAAAAATCAATAACTGTCCATTTCAGTGGGATACAGATCTTAAATGGGAAACGTGAGGGTGGGCATTGCACAGGCACTTTAATGTAATTGTTACATTGTTAATAACAGTAACCATTGTTTGTATATATCATGTTATCTATTTTTAGCCTATTCTTGGGGGCAGAGTTTTCGATCGTTGTTTTCACTGGTTGTTATTGCCAGGCAGTGAAAATGCTCAAATGTTCATTCCAGAGAATAGATCTATTTTAATTTTGGTTGTTAACAACCTCACAGACTCATAACATTAATGGTTTAATTAAGTTATAGCTGGAATTATTATGTATGTATTATATGTTAAGAAATCAGCAATTGTGTCTGTGTTTTGGTCCCTAGAGAGTTTTATAGTTAGTAAATAATTCAGAAAGGCATATAAAAAATCATTATTTATTGAAGTTCAGCTCTTGAACCAAAAAGTAAAAAATAATGAGGTTTAATTTTAACAATGGCATTGAAAGAAACTGATCAGTTTCTTTTGCAGCATTGTAATATTTTTAAGAACATTGACAGCAGTGTTTGTTTTGACTTTGTTTGCCCTGCCGAATATAGTGGAACTCTCGATATGCAAATGAATGTTCTTACTCTCCGAAAGTTAAAGGCAAAACAAACTCTTCTGGCAATGTTTCAATATAAGAGAATATTGCAATGTTTATCGTGGCACCTCATGTGTTTACTCACCGTTGCATCAGGATCAAGTGAAATGACATCCAATTGTTGCCCTATAAAACACACAAACATTAAAAGGATTATAGAATAGAATAGAATAGAATAGAATAGAATAGAATAGAATAGAATAGAATAGAATAGAATAGAATAGATGTTTCTGCCATAGGAACCAATAGACCCGGGTGGCTTGATACACTTTACTATTCATGAGGGAATAAAGAAATCAACCAATTAAGTAGAGCGTCTGGTCGTGCACTTAGAGTTTGTATCCAACTACAGGAATTTTAGGTTGATTACTAACTTTGAAAAGATCTATTATAAACTACCGGTAGTCAAAACATACATTTTTGATTTTTTTAAGGTCATTTTTGGTGACCATACATGTATATTTTGAACATTACAGTACCCTAACAAATCTGGCTGTCATTCGTCGTTTTTGTGTGAGCAATCTCATTACATTATCATCTCCAAACACCTCATTACACAAAGAACATAGAACACATTCCCCGTTATATTTTAATGCGAAATCGACATCCAACAGTACGACCATCCCCTACTGTTATATAGATTCTTCCAGAGTGGGCGTGACAGCACCAGCAATATTCAATAGCCAACAGTTTAGTCAAAACAAAAGCAGTTAGCCAATTCGCTAAAGAGTTTGCAAACTGACTGCCCCAATACTTCCGAGACTTGTTGTAAAAGGTCTAATAACTACAAATTAATGACATATGATACAGGTATGATTGTTTTAAATTACTCGTGTTTCACGTCCATGTAGTGACAGGAATAGATCGTCAGGCTCATGCGGACGTAGCGGCCGAAAGAGACATGTGTACACAGGGCTTATTCCTATTCTGAACGTTGAGTGGAAACCCCGGAAAACACTAAACCAGTTGAAAAACACTAAACCTATTGAAAAAGACTAAACCTGTTGAAAAAGACTAAACCTGTTGAAAAAACACTAAACCCTTCGTAAAGGGCGAATTATGGATATACCATGATCGTTCAGTTAAGTATTTATGAAAAGAAAGCTAAAGAAAAATCCCTTTATGATCGAGGCCAGGGCCGCAGCTGATTTGGCAGCAGGACGCCCTCTATGTTAGATACTAGTATATCGCGCCCCAAACCAAACATTTTATTTTATTTATTTATATATTTACAAATTATGAACATAGCAATTGGCATATTTTTAGATTTGAAATTCCTAAAACTACATCATGTCAAATTCACTAAATGTATTTAACCCAGATTTAATACATATAATAAACTTAATAGTATAGATTACATTGAGGGCGCCCTTGTGAAATCAGCTGCCGTCGTGGGTTCTGTTTCATGTTTTCGCTTTCTTTTAATCAAATATTCACTGGACGATT